ACGTATATATATATATATCACGATAGATCATAAATTTTACGATTACCGTACTGCGCAGTTTCACGCGCGAATCGCCGGAGTTTCTCGCCTGTGAATTACCACCGAGTAGTTACGCACGTTAAAGAGAGTTCTCACACCTTTTACGCGCGAACGACTGTTCACGCGATCGTTAAAAATTCAAGATGGTAAAAGTATGCGCGAGAACGTATGAGAGAGAGAGGGAGGGGGGTTCCGAGCGAATAAAATAAAGTATCGAGGAGATATTATCGCGGATACACTCCGCTCCGATTCGAAAACGTTGCGAGATATTTAGTGCGAGAGACATTTCCGAACGGCGAATGAACGGTCGCTTTGTCACGATGCAATTTCTCGAGAAACTCGCGGGAGAGACGAGGGAGAGATTATTTTTCGAAAGGACGTCGCCCGGGATCGTTGCCGCGCTGTCGGGAGAACGAGGTTTTACAGCGCCAGCCGTTTTCTTGTCCTGGAAACTTCCGCGGGGGGGTAAAACGGCCGGTGGTTTACGAAACGCGGACTCAATTCCAAGCGTTTCGTAATGAGCGTCATTGTTGGCGGTGCTACCCGCCCGGCCCCCGCTTTCTTCCTTCGCGGAGATTGGACTTTCTCGAGCTTGCGAGGAACGGTACGTACTCAGTGCTTGTGTCGTGAGCAGCAGGGCTGTTCTTAGAAACTACAATGGCCCGTTGCCGCGATATTCGATAGGTCGCACTCGAGGGAGGCGTGCACATTCTCATGCTAAGAGATTAGGGCGAGATAGGGCAGAATAATTTCCGTTCGTTCGTGCACCGAAATGCAATTTTGATTCTGTTCAGAAAAACACGAAAATTTAAAATGAGTTTATCTGACAACCACTTACGTCAATGAGATGCAAATAAAATGTCGTATGTAGATAGATTTAATAATAAATTTAGTCTATCTCCCTTGAGATAATTATTCGATTCAAACACACGTGATGTGTCTTAGCTTTCTAGCTTTTCCTCCATCATAATTTTTTTCCAAAAATTAATATTTATACAAAACATATCCGAAGAAAATTGTTGTATATTAAAAGATTTCTGGAATATCATTTAGAGAGATATAAATAAAAAATGAAAAAACATTCGAAAATACAAGAATCCAAGAGAAGATACTTAACTTTAGTTAAAAATTCGATTCAGCTTTTATCGTAGCTGTGACTTTCACGTGGCATCAAATAACAATAGCGGGGATATGTCTCTGTCTCTGTCTTCCATCCGCAAGAGAGAAAAAAGCCTCAAGATTACGAGGACGTTCTCCCGGTAACGGGATAATAAAGCGACGAGCATTGTAGCTTCGCCATGGACTTTTTGAAGTTTGCTCTATCTCCAGTTCTTCTGTCCCACTCGTCATTTACGTTATTTTCAACGTTTTTCTTCGCGTGTCTCCTTCTTTCCTTTCCTTTCCCTTCCCGCTTCTTTCCTTTCCCGCTCTGTCTCTTTTTATCCGAGAATAAAAATCTTCGGAAGAATAAAAACTTTGCAGTCCCGAAGAACTAAATCGCGATCTTTGTGGTAGCCCGAACTCGAGTAGCTTCCTCGAAGCGCATTCATCTCTTACGCAATAACGAAAAAAGAAACGTTTCAAACATCCAAAGTATTTCTATAGAGCTACAAAATATTGACAGAACGTCAATTTCAGCGAATCGGCCTTTGACGATCGAGGAGTTGAGGGATTCGATATCCTCCGAGTTGGAGGGCAACCCACCCTTGTGGATTACAAGAAGACCGAGCAGATACGGCGTGGATGTGTACATTAACAATGCGATGATCCTCTTGGAGCAGAGCAACTTTCAGTCGAAACTGAAAGTCAACGGCGACACCATGACTCAGGTAAATATTTCAACATTGTCACGCATTCATAATTTCTAAGTATCTGCTTATCTATTATTTTCTAATAATATTCAAACGTCCAAAAAAAAAAAAGAAAAAAACTTACGCGTAACGTTGTACGATGGAATGGTTCTATAAAAAAACTAAGTGTAAATAAAACTTTTTTGTACCTTGTATCGATTGAAAAGCAACAACTATTGCTCTCGCCTAAGAAGCAAAGGCAGATGTTTATTTCACGATAGATTCGGTAAATCATTCGAGTTTATCTCAATCACTTTTATTCCCCTCGCATTCAGCCTCTATTTTTCTGACCGACTTCCCAACAGCCACTTCGACCGTCCAGACGTGCCTGGTGGCGGCTTTCTAACGAGCTTTTAATGAGCTTTACACGCTCGCCTTAGCCACGAGACCATTAGGCTGATGGATATCGCGGGCCTCGATAATGTCGAACGGCGCTTCCTGGCATTCGCGTTCTCGCGAGAGTCATCAGCTCGGTTATCGATGGCATATTCAATGCTCTTTCGGCTCCTTGCAAATTAAGCCCGATGTTAATAATCCGATTTATAATAATCAACGCGTCGAACTGTAAGTTATTTGAGAGTTACGAGTCAGCTCGTCTCTTACGAGTATTCCGTCTTTTATTAATTGAACGAAGACTACGACGATTGCACTCAGAAAAAAAAATTAGTCTTAAACCAAGATTATATACTATTATATATAAGTAAGAATATTATCACCTTTTTAGAAAAATTTTCTTGATTCGATTGTATTGATGCAGGTATTACTTTTGCTCAACTCAAGACTAAAAATATTTATCTTGATTTCAGACTAATCTTTTTTTCTGTGTAAATAATATAAAAATGCGAGTTTAGAAAAGTATGATTCGCTCAGAGTGAATTTAGAGAAATTGGCGTATTAAACACAATTCCTTAAAATCTTGAATGTCTTTTTCTTGAAATCTTCTCGTTTTCTTGAAATTTATCCCTTAAGAAGATAATCGACGCATTTCGACGCGATTCAGTGTGTCGTATAGCATTTTGCAGCCAGACTCGTTGAAGGTTCGCGAGGACTCTATCAAGCTGGAATCTTTTTCAAATACCCGTAAATTCGTCGTCAATGGCGTATTCCCCAGCGTATCTCCTAGCTGATTTGGGTTTTCGGTCTCGCAGGGAAGGCGGATCTCATTTCAGGTTGCGAGACGAATCCTTTAATCTATAGTTAAAGTACCATCACCTGATGAAAATCGCACGGGACTAGCTGGGCTACGACTAATCCCTTCGACGAGCTCGCCTGCAGATCAATCTCTCTCTTGCCTCTCGGTAATATTAGGAAAACTTTTCTCATCCACTTAACCCACAAGTTCCATTGCCTCGGCTACTTCCTGCTCGTTACCAGCGTATGAAAATATCGGTCTATAAATCGTGCCTCTCCCCCCTATTTTTAATAGATATGAACTCGAACTAAGATAGAAACTATCGTTTTTTTCTTTATCTTCAAAATAAAAAATCATACGTACGTTAAATTAAGAAAAAAAAATCCAATCTAATTCTTTAAATTTATTACTTCAAGAGAATGAGGGAGAATTGTATAAAAGTATGTATATTTAGTTCAATTTCGAATCAGATAATTATAATCATCAGATTTAATTTAAATTTAATACAGCTAAAATTACTTTATTAATGTATTTTGTATTTATTATATACAAATATCATGACAAGGATAACTGTGATGAGAAACTGAATTATTGCATCGGAAATTTGACGTAAAAACTATAATTTCCATGTTGTACATTCCGTAAGAATTAGTGATAATGATTGATTGTAACATTATCATTAATAATTGCGAGTGCGCCAATTAGCCACCGGATGGTGACGATGTGCTGCAATAACTTACATTAATCATCCATAATTATTAATTGCACGATATTGATTCAATAATACGTGATTGATAGGAAAAGTTAGATGAAAGTGAAATAATCACAACCAATAAATGCACTATGCGATAAGTATAGCAACGAAATTAAAATAAGATTTGAAATTATATAGAAAAAAAAGAAAAAATAAAAAAATGAACAATTAATATATAAATATATTATTAAAAAATAATATTCTATAAAAAAGTTTCCCAATTAGTTAAGAATGTTTTATTTTCAGGACTATTATTATTATTTATTTTTTCAATTTTATTATCATATATATTTTTTTAAAGAGCTGTTACGAATATTTTATAGAAAAAGCACTGCTGTTATATATACTTTTATATATAACTATTATATATTTATTATTATTCTGAAGCAGTTAATTATGTCAATCAAGGATTGAATTCACCAAAAATGATTTTTTGCTAGTAATTGTACAGATGTAATCCCATTTCTGTAATACTAGTATTTTGGAAACCTTTAATGAATTCTGGTATTGGATATCAAATACCAATATTTAATCAAAATTTTCATAATGTCTGTAGATATAATTCTGTCGCTCTAGATATAATTTTTCGATAATTGATATTGTAACGTGACATTATTAAACATTCATTGTCAGAAGTTATTTTGAAAGTTTTCTTTAATTAATATTTTTATTTTATAATTTTTTTCAAAACTGCATTATTTTAAAAATGTTTCTCGTTTCTGCTTTTTTATTTTTTTAATTTATCTTGAAATCTTAAATTTTAGTTTGATTATTATTAAATTTTAAAATATCCAAACGGATTTAATTAAAATGAACATGTATATTATATTAGTTTACATTATAGGACATTTGTATTATTTTACATTATAGGTCATATACATTATATGATTCCTTTTTTGTGATTTGTCAAAAATGTATTAAAAAAAAATTACAAATTGATTTAATTTCCAACAATATCGATTTATTTTCTGTTTCCATTTTTTACATCGCTTTTAATCTCTGATATCAATATATCTCATTTTATATAGAAAATTATGTATATTTTTATCTCGTATATCCGCGTAGACGCGAGGAGAGTGCTGTAAACGCCTTTTCCGCGTCTGTGACTATAATAGGAAATGTCTCAACAATAGAACAGGTCAGCGATCCGTTTTCAGTTGATGCTCGCTCCCGCGAGCGCGTTGCATATCTATCAACTCGAGAATAGATTTATGCGCATTGTCCCCTTATACGTATACCCGATAGACATACGTATTCCATTATCCGCCGTGTCTCAGATCGGAGCAGGGAGTTTTGTTCGGGAGTTTTACAGAGAAATATTCTGTCAAAATCTTATCCTTCATCGCGTGATGCGCATTTTATCGAGATTCGCCGCCGAGGAATTACTCGATAGCGTCGTAATATTCGTCGCGGATACCTCGCCAAATTTGAACATGACAAATTCGACATTGTCGTCGCGGTATATATTCACCTCTTCACGCTCCCGCCCCCCCCCTCTCCTCCCCTCCCCCGCCCGTCGAATCCCGCGCGAACGTTTCCTGCCTGTCGATACATTGCACCGCGATCGGCGAACGCGTTGCAATTTAGCGAATGGCTCTCCCGTAACTGTCCGTCCCGGCACTTTATGATTATGGACACCGTATTTACGATACGCCGGATTAGAAATACAGTTCGGGCCGATGCGCATTTTAAGTCCATCGTAAATAACATATGATTAATTCCATCTTTATCCCGGCCTTACGCGTTGAACTTAATGTTTTACCAGCGAAAACGTGACCTGCATTCTTCGATCTCGTCCACCGCGATCCATTTTTAAAACGTTCGATCTAATACCCCATTTTGCAGCGGACATTATCGTTCACTTGGTACGTTCACTTTGACGTCGGAAAGAACTGATTTCAATTCATAGCGAGATATGAGAGTTCGGCTGGCGTGACTTTTTTTTCTCACAGTTGCTTTATCACGTCATTTTTCCGAAGATATGGATTTTACGACGTCTTAAGAAATCCTCTCTCGAGCTTCGATTTCCTGACGGACGCGCAGGAAGTCGAGATAAAAGGGGAGAACGTGAGAAGGAGGAGACTCTTCATCCCCGGAGTTATGGCCGGTTTTATTACGTCAGCCTGCTCGTAAGAACGAGAGGAATTCGAGAGGTTCCGATCCAATTTGGGAATATTCGCAGATTTGTTGTCGTTCTCTCCCCCCACTCTTCGGCCTGTTCCCGGAAGATACGATATATATTACTTCCTGTCGATCAAATGATGTTCCATTCAGCCTCTTGTAAAAACAGAAATCACCCCGTAATCTCAGCACGAACCTCGTTATCGAATCCTCCCTGCTAAGGGCTACAAAAATTGTTTCGGAGTTCCGTCGTCTTTATTTGACTTATTTTATAATCCATCCAATCTAATAAGGTAGAAAATTTGTAGATCGCAAGCATCGAATTTTGTCATGCTGCAGGGGAAAAAAAATAATACCGCATTGTGCAGAGAGCAGAAGAGATAGAGACAGAGAGAGAGAGAGAGAGAGAGAGAGAGAGAGAGAGAGAGGGGGGGAAGGGAAGAGGGAGGGAAAGAGAGAAACAGAGAGGAGGCCGAAGAAGAGAGGACCGCGGCAAGAGAGATGATCAAAGCCCCGTCCGCATGTCAAATGGAGAGTCCGACCTCTCCGTTGCAGCGATGGCTGACCAACTCAGATGATCCTCCGCTACCGCTGAGTAACCTCTCGCTTCTAGCGAATCTCACTCAGTCTCTCTCCCTTTCCCCCTCTCTCTCTCGTTTTCTCTTTCTTTCGTTCTCTCTTTCTCCTTCGCCACCTCCGTCACCTCTGAAATCGCTGCGGCGGAGTGGAAACCGCAGTCTCGCTGCGGCTGTGACGACCCCCCGTGCACGATGTGTATCGGCCTCGCTTCGTGCCCGCCGGCATAATTCAATTTTCGTCACGGTGGATGCCGACGGTTCGTCTCGCCGCCGTTCGTCGTTCTTTCGTCTCCGAGTGCATCGACTCGCTGCCGCGGTTTAGTCCTGCGGCCTAGCCCAGTCGCGAGGAGACGATTCCGAGATGATTCCGAGGAGATCATTGCTCCTTGAAAGC